CACGAGGGCTATCTGCGCTAGCCGTCCCTAATTTAGCAAGTGTAAGACTAGAGGAAGGCTAGCTAGTCATCACCACAAAGCTACACGAGGGCTATCTGCGCTAGCCGTCCCTAATTTAGCAAGTGTAAGACTAGAGGAAGGCTAGCTAGTCATCACCACAAAGCTACACGAGGGCTATCTGCGCTAGCCGTCCCTAATTTAGCAGTGTAAGACTAGAGGGAAGGCAGCTAGTCATCACGACCCACCGCCAACTCTTGGGCTACTCTTTTACCAACGAATAGTGGGATTGACCGTTACATTATAACGCCCCCACGGCTGAAAGGGCGAGCATGTTTGGTGGGACGGGGATTCGAACCCGCGACCCGCAGATTGCGAGTCGAGTGCCCTAACCACCAGATAACATGTTAAATAAAGTTACATTTAAAACTTTCTCCAAATTTTATCTTATAGTCAGGCTTCTTTATTTTTTAATTTATTGGCGTCAAAGAAATTGACATGAGTGGTATTTATCGAAAAATCACGCTCAAAGTTGCTGTAATTCTTATCTTCAACTTTCGTTTTAATAGTTGTTCTAGGGCTATGATGCCAAGATATAAATATTTTGTAGTATCTAAGTTGTCAGTTTATCTAAACACATTATCATTTCTGGGGCAAGAACCACCGTAAGGGCCTCGTTTAAACGCGTACTTTGATTTGTTCACATAGTCTTCCATAAGGCGATCAAATCTTTTGAAATGTCGTAATAAATGCCTCCTTTTTTAATACTGCGGTCGTTGTTACAGTATGGCGGAACCGTGGGTAACAAGTACGATTTTCACGGAGGAACAGTGCGAAGAGCTTTGTGATAATTTCCACGAGGTAAGATTTTAATATCGTAGTTTAAAAAATATGTTAGCTTTTAACGTAGTTCTAAAAAGCAGAAACAAGTATTTAGAAATGAATTGTTTAATATCCATAATTTTTTGTAACTCTAACAGATTCCCGAAAAGAAGGCGTTTTTCCTGTGTTGACTAGTTGGCAAATTGTTAATCATTATGATTATATTTTTGTAATTTATTCTATCGTTAGGCTGGTTCTTTTGGATTATTTGGTAAAAATAATGTTAATTCCAGTCCACGTAACGATATCGAATTATTTTATTTGTTCGATAACGTTTTCTGTTCACTTTGAGTGGACACAAGTTGTAGGCCTGAGTTCACAAATAACGTTTCAAAAATATCCCGAAACTAAATGGTAAAACGCCTAACTTACTTTTATAATTTCTCAGCTATTAAATTTCGTAACTGAATAGACGTGATAACTCTCAGTTCTAACACTGAACTAAATCATTCACTGATTACTTCACTTATTCATTACTCATCAAATTCACTGAATTTCGTGCCTATATTGTTCTATTGTTCCTACATGCTCTATGAAGCTTCTCGATACTTAAATTTCATGAACATAATCGATCTTAACGTCATGCGTTCGCTAGCGAACATCTATATAAATAATATGCTTGCACGAGTCTCTCTTGAACTTTTCTCACAAATTTCTGGGTCAAACGCTACAATTCTCATATCATTAGAAAGACCTTTGTCTAAGGAGTCCGGATTGCATATTGGCTTTTCAGTTCAGAATAATTTTACTTGCTTTTTGCTTAGTGAAACTTTTCAATGCAACGAGTATGGTACATGATTGCACAAAGTTGTTGTCATCACGTGACGACTGGCTTGGACGGTCTTCGATTTCAGCACTAGTTTTATTATTTACAAAGTATTTTACACAAACAACACTTAACATGTGTGTAATTTCCTAAAAAAATTAACATTACACTAAATGCAATTTTCATGGGCTTTCTCGACTTATTTAGATTTAAAATATGCATTCGCAGTTCGTTCAAAGCCGTATGCTTATCACTTTGTGAACACGCATTTAGACGTTTCAACATAATCAGCTAAGTTTGCCTTCATTACAACTTTACAGTTACTTTGCAATAATTTAGCTTCGGTTCGTTTCATAGACTGTATATAAACACCTTTTAGCTACTTTTTTCTTTACTACGGGTTTTATTCTTCGTTTTTGTAAGTTTCTTTGTTTCAACTCGTAAATCTTTGTCATACACTGAACACTCATAACTGTTTCATACTCTGTACACTGTTATAAATACCAGTACTTTACTTTATTGTTTACTTTATGTGTAGTTTTATTAAATAAAGTTACGTCTATGTGAGTTGTTTCTCTGACCGCGTAAAATGTTTTCAAATAGACCAGGATATATCGATTTAACACAAAGGGCCTGCAGGAAAGCGAGGCTTTAAATGGCGTCCGTGAAAATAATAAAAGAAGGAAAATTCATGCGAAAGTCATGAAAACTACCGCAAATGTTTTGCAGATCGCGGCTAGTCTAAATTAAAACATTGCTCACAACAATGTATATATTTCTATTGGTTATTCATTATGTATTGTAAATTTTCTCAGATTACTTTAAAAATCGCTACAATATAAAGCAAAATGAAATAAAAAAAACATATATTAGTATACATCTATAATATTGCGTAAAATGATAAATAATCCTATTATAAATTAAGAGAAACTTGTTTGTTTGTCTTCTAACTAATCCTACGCTTTTACATTTGGACCTTAAGAATATGGTTTAGTCAATTGGGAATGATTCAGGATATGTTAATAAGTTATCTTTCTTTTAAAAGACCCCGGTGAAACAGCGGTATGTCTACAGACTTACCATGCTAAAATTCGGGGTTCGACCCCGTGCGGTGGCTTTCTTCTAACACAAACAAACAAACACAGATTTCATAGCTCCAGTGTTGAATAGATATAGATTAGTCAGTGTTATCCTACAGAAATATAAGAAGAAGTAACTCGTTATTTTGGGGGCATACTCAGTGAGTTACGTAATGTAGAACAAGGTCTAAATATTGTAGAGAATGACAAAACAAGTTTTCACACATGGCATTTGTTAAATGTAATTATCCCTTGGTGTATTTAATATCCGTGGGAATCTAATGGTTTTAAAGTTTCAGCAAAGGAAAAGTATTGGATTTGATGATGTGATTTATACTGTTATAAGCTATATTTTTAATGTTGTAATTTAGATGCGTGCTAGAGGGCGGGTGACGTTGAGATCAAGTAAGTTTGTGGGAGTAGGCTTAAAACGTGGTTGGTGGGTCGTATTCGACCTGCAAAGGTGTTTTATCTCAGGATATTTTTTTTCTTCTTCTAACCACATATTTATATGGGCCAAACTAGCAAACAGAGTCGTACAGAACGGTACTGTACAAGCTGAAGTATATTGCAAAAGCGAAGTTAAATTTCTAAAGAAGTATAGTGGCGAATTTAAGCGAGATCTTTAAGTAGTTAAACAGTGTCAGCAAAAGGAAAAGTAAAGGAGAAAAGGCCAGGGTGCCATAATGGCACAGCAGATTAAAATTAACAGGAGGAACTCTGTTTTCACCGTGATTCCTGAAGATGCACTCCCGCACGAAGTCATTCACGCCGTAGAAGAAAGTTTAGGTATAGGAGCCGTAGAATGCCTACAACCGCTAGGCGGGATGAAAATATGTTGTACATTCACGTCATACAATATAACGACGAAGGCTATGGGTATTGGACAATTCACCTACAAGGATGTAGAGTACAAGTACACCCCAGCAGGTACAAATGTAATATCAGTAAGAATAAAACATCTCCCACACGAGGTGCCAAACGACTATGTAGCCAGTGCGTTACAAGAGTATGGGAAAGTGTTAGGAGTGATACGGGAAACGTACACGGATAGCAAGGTTTTTACTTGGACGAGAAGGGTACGTGTGGATATGTCGGAACCAATCCCCCAATTTTCTTTATATAGGTTAATTCAGGGTAATGGTGAATTACCCTGGAATGAAAAAGCTGTGTGCGAAATGCAAGGAGGAAGGACATTTCGCGGCCGACTGCACGGCCAAAATATGTAATAAGTGCGGCGAAGTAGGACACCCGCCCGCAGAATGTGTCAAAGGGTGTAAAAAGTGTGGAGGAAATCACCCACACAGGCAGTGTACAGTGAAGAGTTTCTCGGCCATAGTGAAGGGAGGAGAAGACGAAGTGAGTATTGAAAATGAAGTTGAAGAAATCCTGAAAGAAGTAGCAGATAACGTATGTGAAAGTGTAGAAAAAGAAGTAAACACAATGGAAGTAGATGCAGAGGAAAAGAAAGTAGAGGAAAAGGTAGAAGAAGAATGGAAAAAGGTTACAAAAAAGAAAAATAAAGAGAAGAAAAAACCGGAAAAAAAGACGGAGAAGGGTTTAACAAAAAAACCCAGTGATACACTGTTGGCGGAAGATTTACTCCTGTCGGAAAGTTCCTCGAGCGAAAGCAGCGGGGAAGAAATGATGGAAGATCAACAGGTGAAAAGGGCACGTTCGATCACATCGTCTGAAGACAAAAAAAAAAGGGAATCGGTATTCACATAACAGGTAAATACGACATGGAAGAAATCTACGAAAGTATGAAACGACTAAGGTAACGAGTATAAGAGTGTCCTACAAAAAGGGTAAGTAGGGTAAGTTCGTTTATATCTCTAATAGTTTCTATAACTGGCTGTGGTCGCAGGGTAAGGTGGAGACATGCCTTACTCTCTTCACACAGTAAGGGTTTAGTTAGAATAGTTAGTGTGTTATCTGAACTGAAGGAGCGGCGACTGACTGTTCGAGATGGAGTCTGGGAGCCTACTCCTGGAGTGCGGCAGAGGAAGCTCGATGGTTGCTATGAGGGGATGGAAGCCTTTAGGCTGAAATTTCTGACGTGGCTGATCGTCGAGTTGAAACTGATTAGTGTCTTCAGGGGCCGTGGGCATGGTGATTTGTCCTGGTTGGCGGGCTGTGCTGGGATGGAAGTTCTTGGAGATCGAGGAGAACTCGGGGTTTTACCTCTGTTTGAACCGGACCTGAGACGACCGTCCCTAGTATGGCTAGCTGTCGAGTTGATAGCTTATCATGTTACCTGGTTTTGGGTGTATGGAAGTGAGATCAGAAATTTCAGGCGTGTCGTGGAAATTACCTCTTTGAGAAAGGGAGGACCTCCAGTACTTGCAAGTCTCTGTTCCTGTCCCTTGTTTTGACTTATAGGGCTTGAACACAAAAAAGAGTATGTAATGTGTGTGGGGTCACGAACTGACTTGGAGTGTAAGGACCTGACATGCTGGATAGTCTGGATCAATGATCTGAAGTTACTCAACATAGGTAAGAATTTAAATTCTGGACGTAAATCGAGTGTAGTCTGTTATCGTTTACCAACAGTAAGGCTAGCACTTAAAGTTAAAAATTGTTTTTCATTGGAAAATATAGAGGAATGTGTATTATGTCTTAGTTTTAACAGCATCAGGTGTGGGAGGGTAGCTAAGTACAGCTACAACTCCAACATCTAAACTGCTCAGAGTAAATATTTGTGGGAAGATGACGATTTAAATAGGTTATTAAGAGGTAAATTTTAGTAGGGAATGAGTAATTGTGTTGCTCACGAAAACACAAACTAGTAAACAGAAAACGAAACAGTAACCATGCAAAACAGTCCCATGGCGGCTCTGAAAGTTTTTTCAGATGTTAACTCGGCTATTACTTCGTTGAAACTTGAAAGGCTACCTTTAAGTTTAAAGACATCATTAAATTTTAAATTAAGCTAATAATATGAACGTACTTAAGGCGGCCATATAGTTTCCACCTTCACATTACAGTCTTGGTAAGAAACTGGCCCACGAGCATAAAGAAGTTGGCCATCACCATCGTAGAATATTCTAAATTGACATCACGAAAATCTAGTGTCATTGTTTTCTCTCTAGTCTTGTGATGACGTCACTGTTTTAGTAGAGCTGTGTTCTGTATAGTGTTGCAATGAAATGACAATTTTTGATACGAGTTTTTTGGTTCACTAGTAGATGTATCTGTATCATTTTAAAGATATGTAAATACCTATATGATTTGTTAAATAAACTTAAATTTATTCTTAATGAAAAGTCAAATGAAAGTTATATATTTGATGTATATGACAACATTTTACCAAATTGTGAATCCTGCTTTTGATACGTGAAGAACATAAATCTTAAAACATCATGTTAACAGTGGGTGTCAAACAGAAGAACGTTGAAAATATGAAGCTGTAGTATTTTATTAACTTTGATTTTAGTAGAAATTTGTAAAAAACCGAAGAATTTTTTTTGCTTCTCAATCGGCCATGGAATGTTTAAGTGTTTCACAAATGGTGCACCTGTTAGTGTTAAAAATAGAAGTAACTGATGTAACATTTCTCCAAATCTTGACAATTTTTGTTTGTCTTGTGGACTATCTATAAAGCATGGTAAACACTGTAAGTATATATATATATGTGTGTGTGTGTGTGTGAAGAAAGTGAATGTTTTTAATGGAAAAAATTACTGTAATGTTTTTAATTAATTTGCAGAAACCCAGAAGTGATATATTCTGTGTAGGTTAATATGATTTTATTTGCTTATTCAAGCTTGCGGTGACTTTGTGAATTACATTTGTGTCCTATTTTTTATGTTTCATTTTATATTTTTTTATAACAGGGTTTTGTAGTAAAATTGTATTGGTGTAACAAATGGACATTTCAAAATTGTTTTAAATTTTGGACATACTGATACATTTTTTTATTTCTAAATTATAAAGTGTCAAGTAAATGTGTTATGTTATAGCTTAACAGGGATGGAAGTGGCTTCCTTGACATTAGTGAGCTAAAGAGGGCGCTTGAAATTGTTGGTTTCAAGTTTCCACAGTGGCAAGTCAGACAAATGATTGACCGAATGGACAGAAGTAAATTTATGGAAAACAGAGGACAACTAAGTTTTGAAGAGTTTCAGAAGGTACTGTACATGATATGTCTAAATATTTTGATGTGGAAGTTATCTTTTTTAATTTTTGGTAATCTCTTACAAATGAGTTTTCTTACTGATGGTCATCAGCATGAGGTGACAAGTTTACGACTTTATCATTTTTTTGATTCAGTAAAGGAAACTGAATGTGTGACATATTTAAATCTCAGTTAACTACCATTGGTATTAGTAAAAGAAAAATACATAGATATCGGTGTGAAAGGTATGAACTCACTACCAACCAATCAAAATCAAGAATAGAAATATAAACAGATCATATATATTGAACCTGGTGGTGTTTTGAATATCTATACATATATATATATATATATATAATCCAAAACTCGTTTGGAATATTTGTGGACTCCAACTGTCTTGACCTGCTGATCTACATATAGCTTCCATCATCACCATGCATAGTTGTTTTCTTACCCCATTACTCTAAGACTTGCCATAGTATGATGGTTTGACTTAACACTTGCCATAGTATGATGGTTAGAGCCTTTGACTTAACACTTGTCATAGTCTTATGGTTAGAGCCTTTGACTTAACACTTGCCATAGTCTGATTGTTAGAGCCTTTGACTTAACACTTGCCATAGTCTGATGGTTTGACTTAACACTTGCCATAGTCTGATGGTTTGACTTAACACTTGCCATAGTATGATGGTTAGAGCCTTTGACTTAACACTTGTCATAGTCTGATTGTTAGAGCCTTTGACTTAACGCTTGCCATAGTCTGATGGTTAGAGCCTTTGACTTAACACTTGCCATAGTCTGATGGTTAGAGCCTTTGACTTAACACTTGCCATAGTCTGATGGTTAGATCCATGACTTACAATCTGTGAGCTCAATTGCCATCAACTAATGTGCTTGACTTTTCCGCCATGGGTGGGGGGTCATAATGTGATGGTCGATCCCACTTTTCATTGGCAAAAGAGTAACCCAAGTGTTGACAATGGGTGGTGTTAATGAGCTGCCTTCCTTCTTGGCTATCCCTTCTATGAGTGGTGTTAATTAGCTGCCTTACTTCTTGGCTATGCCTTCTATAGGTGGTGTTAATGAGCTGCCTTCCTTCTTGGCTATCCCTTCTATGAGTGGTGTTAATTAGCTGCCTTACTTCTTGGCTATGCCTTCTATAGGTGGTGTTAATGAGCTGCCTTACTTCTAGGATATCCCTTCTATAGGTGGTGTTAATTAGCTTCCTTACTTCTTGGCTATGCCTTCTATAGGTGGTGTTAACTAGCTGCCTTACTTCTTGGCTATCCCTTCTATGGGTGGTGTTAATTAGCTGCCTTACTTCTTGGCTATCCCTTCTATGGGTGGTGTTAATTAGCTGCCTTACTTCTTGGCTATGCCTTCTATAGGTGGTGTTAATTAGCTGCCTTACTTCTTGGCTATGCCTTCTATCGGTGGTGTTAATTAGCTGCCTTACTTCTTGGCTATCCCTTCTATGGGTGGTGTTAATTAGCTGCCTTACTTCTTGGCTATCCCTTCTATGAGTAGTGTTAATTAGCTTCCTTACTTCTTGGCTATCTCTTCTATGAGTGGTGTTAATTAGCTACTTTCCTTCTTGGCTATCCCTTCTATGGGTGGTGTTAACTAGCTGCCTTACTTCTTGGCTATTCCTTCTATGGGTGGAATTAATTAGCTGCCTTACCTCTAGGCTATCTCTTCTATGGGTGGTGTTAATTAGCTTCTTTCCTTCTTGGCTATCCCTTCTATGAGTGGTGTTAATTAGCTGCCTTACTTCTTGGCTATCCCTTCTATGGGTGGTGTTAATTAGCTGCCTTTCCTCTAGGATATCCCTTCTAAAATAGGTACAGCTAGTGTAAACAGCCTTTGAGTAGCTTTGAGTGAAATTTGAAAAACAAATAAAACCCATCAATACCATCCTATGGGTGGGCTTCCCCTCAACTCCTTTTGGTTTCATGGGCTGTATGATGTGGTGAAGTTCCCAGGTGAAGTTATTTAATAGCTTAATTCTCCTCATCTGCAGTTATTGGTCATGTATCTGGAGAACCAGTGGATATTTTCCCCTGTGTTAGAATTTAATTTGAGGTTGTTTTCAACTCCATATTAAGTTTTTCTGTATCACTACATGGATTGAAAATGAAGAAAGTTGTTAACGGTAGCGTTAATATTTAAACTGTTTTTTTTTCATGATGGCTAGAAGCTCTCATTAGCATAAACATACGCAAACATCTCATGCTAGTATTAACTGAAACTGAGTTTCATATTGTAGTGAAATAGCCCTAATACATTACACTTGGGAATATAGGATGGTAACTGGAAATACAATAAAAATTATTATTATGACCTTCAATGGGCCAACAGATGTCAGCATGCTGGACTCTTGACCTATTGAAT